CGGCGGCGGCAAAAGCTACCATTTTGGCATAATAAAATACGACCTGATTCGAATCACCATCTTGAAATTGAAAAATATAAGCATTTGATTTTGAAAGTTATTTATAATCAAATATAGTTGACATCTGTCATATGTGGTAAAAAATGGTAGCTTTTGCTCTATCCTGTCACCCATGTGTTCAAATTCTCTAAGTAAGTTTTTACCCTGTCACTCATGTGTTCAAATCGAAATTGAAAAATAAAAGCATTTGATTTTGTAAGTAAGAATCGAATTTAGCAGAATTCTGTCACATGTGGTAAAAAATGGTAGCCTTTGCTCCATCCACAAAGGAACATCTGACTGGCCCCCGACTCAATCTGCCGATGAATCCGACTGGTAGCATGAGCACCGGGCGTAATCATTTGTGAGGCATCGTGGTGAAATCAGGCGCTCAACAAAATAAAGAAATTAGAGACACAGGCATTTGTCTGCCAGTTTGGCAATTTTTAGCGAATTTTTGTTTTTTGGCTCAACTCCATTTATGTCAATATAAAAACATGTTTCCATGTGAATTTTACAGAAAAACGTTGCTTAAAGGCACAAAATATGTCATTTTTCTATTTTCAAGGACTCTTTAGCTATTGGATTTACCAAACTCTGGTTGCCATTCTCTCGCTAAATTCACCACTGAAACCAGGAGACCTCACCTCTTTCAATTGCAAATATCTTGATTTCTATTCAAGATAAGTTGGGTTTTTTTTTTTCACTGAAAGCAACGCAAATAAAATATAAGCTTTCAGATGATACCAATAACTCTACATGCCCAAAAACCGACGAGCGCCTGATTCGACCACGCCGCGATACATTTGTCCCCAGGTGGCACTGCCAATCTCCTGCTGTGGCAAATCCCCGGAACCTGCAGGTCTTTACAGTAGTGTTTCAAAAGGAGGAAACATTTTTTTTCGTAAGAGTTTTACGACACTTGCAGCACAACAAGGTCATATAAGTGCCCAAGAATAAATGTGTTACAAGAGAGTAACATACATAAGAAAGGAGGGGAGATAAAGACGATAAACGTTTGATAGGAAAGAAGAAGCAAACCACACCAGAGCACCCGCCAACAACTACACTCTGATGACTTGACAATAAATAATTCAAATAAAACATATATATATTATATCAGAACAGACCAACTATCAAAAATGGCATTCACTCGTTCAAGTGCACATTCCAAAAAAACTTGACGTCAAGCACAATAAAAATTCATCAACACAATTGACAATACAGATGATGAGAAAAGGAACACAAAGACACATTAAAAAGTGATATAAAAGTGCTGGGGGAAGGCAAGGATTACCTGTCAGTTGGAGCTAAAGACCTAACACATACAGACAAAAGTGAGACGTGTGGACAAAATGAGTTACTTCTCGCAATCCGGAAATGGAGATATCGGCCAAAAATTGACATTAGGCTCAAATTTGTAGATTTTCCATTGATGCCATATTCTTTAAGCATGGCATGCCTTTTATTATTTCATACTTATAAATTGTAAAAGCTTCACCTCTATAAGTGTGATGTACTGATTTCATAGGGCTTGAATTCGAGATGTAACTAATTTTGTCAGCAAGCTTCACAAATATATTAGCTTCCATGGCGATAAATGTACACAATAACCCTCTCCAATCATCATAGAGAGAAATATGGCAAGTAAGAAGTAGGTTGCAGTAGTGCACAGCAAATTCAACGAAACTTGGCTGTGACCTTCAAAATGAAATCAGTTGTATTGTGCCAAAATGGTAGTTTTGCCCATCCATAAAAGACATTCTGGCAGGCCACTACTCAATCAAACGAATCCGACTGGCAGTCTGTACTGTGTATAAGCTGTTGTACCTAGGGCCAGAGGTTAGGCCAGTTACTTACTGCAGATAAACAAGTGAAGACTACAGGGGAAAAAGGACGGCAGTCTCAAACTGAAAATCGTGAGGGGAACCAATTTTGAACGCTTGTTGACTCAAAACTGTATTTCTGTTCAACTGTTGGTTGATTACTGTCGTTAGATTTCCCATCCAACAACATTTAACAATAAACAACCAGTCAAACAAATATGAAGTTAGGAGTCCACAAGCTTTTAAAATTGGCACCCTCACAAATTCCAGTTTGTGACTACAGTCGTCTTTCCCCCTGTAGACTTCAAGCGGGTTGTGATTGAAAAAAAACCAACACCAAAGAGTTCTGATCGAGTACAATCACTCCAGCGACTCCATGATACACGACGTGTAGGCCTATGGTGACTATCACAGTGTAAGTACAGGAGAGGGCTCGGCAATTCTGCCGTGCCAAGGCAGACCGACGTATCTGCAAAAATTAATTTTTGCATCTCCATTTAGATTAAATGGACGCCTATACTCATTCTGCATCTTGTGTCTTAGACAAAAAGACGTATCTGCACTACAAATAGGATATTTCACTATGGCAAAAACACGTAACTGAAGGGCAATGCCCATATTTCCAATGGCAACGCAACGTAACTCAAAATCATAAAAAGTGCAGACACGTCGCTCTGCCTTGGCACGGAAGAATTAACGCCTGCTCCAACCAACTGACTGACTGACAGAACATAACAACAGGAGATTCGTGTGTGCAGAACCCTTTAGAAAAAGTACAGTGAGCGTGGTCAAGACACAGAAAGAGGCTGTCCCCGTTGTTTTATGCACCACGCATACTTAAGCAAAATTTGATCATTTTCCGCATTATTTCTGATTGTTTTCCTTTATCATTCTTCGTTAAAATAAACAGAATCGCATAATTTCACATTTTTGGGCTCAGTTTGTATAATTTCAGAATTTTTCTTGCATAAAAAGATGGGGACAGAAGAGGGCTGGGAGGATGTGTAACTGTCCAAACATTACAGTGTCTTTTTAAAAAAAGTTTTAGTAAGAGTTTTACGGCATTTGCAACACAATAAGGTAATATAAATAAGGTAATATAAGAGCTGAAGATTAGAGGTGTTACAAGAGAGTAACAAACAGAAAAAAGAAGGGAGATAAAGACTATAGATGTTTGATAGGAAAGAAGAAGCAAGCCACACCAGAGCACCCGCCAACCACCCACACAGTGCCTGTTTGCTTGAGTAAAGAGAATTACGAACATCGACACAATATATATGAAAAATTTAGTGCTTGGAAAATGGACAGATGGAAACAACAGAGAGAAAGAATAGAAGTAGGACCTGACAGAGGCGCCCTCCAACCACCCGCCATTACAGTAGTGCGACAGAATGACAACTATTCATCACTTCATCTCCTTACAGTAAACAAAGGTGAGTCTTGTTTAAGTTATGGTACATAAATTGCATTACTGAATGTGTCAGTATTTGAAACAAACAAGCAATAGGACAAAAATAAATTATAAAACAACATAAATCCCCAACATCCCCCCCTCCCCTCCAAAAATAAACACACAAAAGGAAAAAATAGCCAATCGTCCCCTGCCCACCCCCCCCCCCCCAAGGGTGAGTAGAAAGTATCATTCTATGTCGTCCCCTGCCCCCCCCTGAGGTTGAGAAATCGTAGAAAGTATCAGTCGATGTCGAAGTCGCTGCCACTGTCCTCATCTTCCTGCAGGGCTCCTCGGATCTCCCCCGTGGTTTTGTCGCGGATCACGTACATCGACTCTTTGGACGGGAGGAAACTGTGCCTGGGGAGTAGAAAAAAAATACACGTAAGTATACGAGTGAATACATGTATACGGGTGGGGAAGAAAAATATATATGCAAACAGGTGGGGAAGAAAAATACAAACGAGGTGCAGCATGGTGAAGTCAGGCACTCGTCAAAATAATGAAAGTGAAGAAACTGGCATTTTCCCGCAGGTTTGGGAATTTTAATTTTTTGGTGAAACTGTTTTAGGTCCAAAGAAAAACACATTTCCATGTGAATTTTACTGAAAAGCATTGATTAAAGGTACAAATTATGTCCTTTTTCAGTATTCAAAGACTCTTTAGCTATAGGAGTTACCAAACTTTGGCAGCCATTTTCTCGATAATTTCACCACTGAAATCAGGCGACCTCACTTCCTTCAATCGCAAATATCTTGAATTCTATTCAAAATAAATGGATGTTCGTTTCACAAGAAGCAAGGCAAATAAATCCGCTTTCTGATGATACCAATAACTCCACATCTCTCCTCCTTCTCTTTTTTGCAGGCTACTCGGTAGAACCATCTCCAATCTTCGGCATTTATATGCATCCTAGTGTTGCAAGTGTTGTAACACTCCTACAAAAACATCAAACTGAACAAGAGCCGGGCTCCTTCACCAAAGCAACAGGCACTTATACAACCGTATTGTGGTGCAAGCGCCGTAAAACTCTTACTAAAACTAAAAAACAGGGATGTAATCAGGTTTTTGAAAAAAAAAGCCGGAAAAATATATGGTGCGCACGCACTGACTGAAATAAGAATACAGTGAGACAAAATTATATTTGTTTCTTTCCCTCTATTACATCAAATAATCTCTATTTAGTATATATATATTATGTATTATTTATAGCCATAATCAGACAGACACCGGAACAATCAGTAGGATGCCTTGCGGGCTTTGGTGCTAGGGGGAACTGAGCACTTATGGACCTGTCCGGTGTGCAATGACGTTGTTGCCCAGGACAGGCAATACAGGCAATTATTTATAGTAGACTTCTGTTAAAAGCTGGGGCCCAAATGGCAAGTCGGCCGGAAAAACAGGAAAAAGCTGGAAGATTTACATCTCTAAAAAAAACGCAAAGCAACTTACTCCTGGAGAAAACTCTCGATATCGTTGGCGTAGAAATCGTCTCCAAACTCCTGGCCCAGCCTGATGAAGTTTCCGATCAGCTCCTTGTTCTTGTAGACGAGCAATGCCGGCACTCCCTCCTCCGACTGGGGACGCAAACATCTGACGTGTGAGCTTTTTAAAATCTTTTTCTTTCGGGGATATGATCTGATTTTCATATTTTTTATATGATGTATTGTGGGCACCAGTTAGAAAAAAAACAAAGACGCAAAAAAGGAAAAAAAGGAAGGAGGAAAGAAAGAAGAAAAACAAAAGAAGGAAAGAAGGAAGAAAGCAAGAAATAAAGAAAGCATGAAAGCAATAAAGGATGAAAGAAAGAAAAGAAAGAAAGCAAGAAAGAAAGAAAAAAAGAAAGAAAGAAAAAAAGATGACAATTTCAAGGTCACAGAAAACTTATGAGAATGAAGGAGTAACGAGTATGATGTCCCTTTTCTGGGGAAGCAAGTATTTGGTTTATTATTTTATTGTTCTTTTTATTGAGGGGACTTGATTTGATTTTCATATATATCATATCGTGTATTGTGGTCACCAGTTAGAAAAAAAGAAAGAAGGAAAAAAGGAAGGATGAATGAAAGAAAGAGAGAAGAAAAAACAAAAGAAAGAAGAAAGCAAGAAAGAAAAAAAAAAGGACAATTTCATGTTCACAGAAAGCTTGTTAGAATGAAGGAGTAATGAGTACGATGTCCCTTTTCTGGGGAAGCAAGCATCCGGTTTATTATTTTATTGTTCTTTTTACTGAGGGGACTTGATTTGATTTTTGTACTGTTTATTGTGGGCGTAGGTTAGAAAAAAAGAAATAAGGAAACAAGGGAAAAAAGGAAGCATGAAAGGAAGAAAAAAAGAAAGAAAGAAGGACAAAAGAAAGAAGAAAAACAAAAGAAGGGAAAAAAAAGCAAGAAAGAAAGAAAAAAAGAGGACAATATTCTGGTGAGAGAAAACTTATTAGAATGAAGGAGTAACGAGTCTGACGTCCATTTTCTGAAAATTGTTACAGGATAGAGATATGATTACTACAATTGGTCACTTTTAAGGACAAGTGGGCTAACCCAGATTTTGGGGGTTTCCAGAAATCTTGACCGACACCAAAAGTAGGCATTGCCCTACCTACTGGCGAAGTTTGGTTTCAATGGTGTGTTTATTTGCTTGGTTATAGAGAAAGCTCTCCTTGTATTTTAAAGAAGAGGCAAAACTTTACCTTCAATTTTCTCAAAACAGCATTTTTTCTGGATAGCACCCTTGTGCTTAAAAAAGCGACCAATTATACATGTGTCCCACTGTGTTGGGTTTTCGATTTTCTTGTTAAGATTTTGAGGTTATTGGTGGACTTTCAGAAAAAGGATATTCCACTGTGATAAGATGCAAAGCTGAGGAACTCAAAACAATCTCCTTCGAAAAAAGATGTTTCTATCAATTATATACTATGGCAAAACAAGTAACAGCTTCATCACATTAACCAGACTGCAAAAAAACCCCAACCCAAAATGGAAGAGCCTTTCCCACAAGTAGTCGTTGTACATTTCGTTTCGAGCAATCCTCTGTAAAAGAAACCTCAAAAACAAAAACTGAAGAAGCGACTACACTTTTAACAATAGAATTCTCTTTAATTAAGTTTTTAAAAAACAAAAACAGCAGAACTAAACTGACGAGCGATTCATTAATTGTTTATTATTACAAATATAAAAAAACAAAAAACTTACAAATTTGAAACTCATCCGAGCGTCTGAAGCGGACAGGCGGCAGAACTTGATGGTTGGATACTCGTTGGCCAGGCAGCCCAGACACCCGTTCATCGTCTCACACGCAGGTACATGCTGACAATAGAGAAGACGAAAATAGTTACTGTTGGGTGTTGATTTTGCTATCAAAAGTATACATTTTAAAAAAAACCCACAAGTTAACAAAAAGTAAAAAAAAGTGGGTGGTTGGCGGTTGCTCTGGTGTGGTTTGCTTCTTCTTTCCTATCAAACATGTGTCGTCTTTATCTCCCCTCCTTCTTTTATGTGTTTATTACTCTCTTTTAACACCTCTAAACTTATATGACCTTATTGTGTTGCAAGTGCCGTAAAACTCTAACTAAAACTAAAACAAGTTAAAAAGTTATAAAGTTAGAGAATTCAGCATTGCCACTGCCACAGCTAAGTACGACGCCAACTAAGCATATAGTAAACAATACAGTCAAAATTGTCTAGGATGGCCCTCTTTTGTCGAGGAGTAAAGTTGTTTTAGTTAGTTTTAGAAGAGGTTTTACGACACTCTCAACTGCATAAGGTCATATATGAGTGCCAGAAGATTAAAGTTGTTATAAAAGAGTAACAAAAAAAAAAAAAAGAAGAAGGGTAAATAGTATGATAGATGTTTGACAGGAAAGAAGAAGCAAACCACACCCAGAGCACCCGCCAACCACCCACAAAAAATCTCTACCTAGAATTAGAAAAATCTCTACCTAGAATTAGAAAAATCTCTACCTAGAATTAGACTATGTCATTCCTGAAAAAAAAAGGGAGCTATGATTTACCCATCAAAAATTGTTTATAACGGACAACAGCGACGTACCTGTTCAAAGATGTGTACAATGATTGTGACACCTGGATTCTCCCCGTCCACTTCCTCCAGGAAATTGTGAGCGGTCAGGGAGATGAGCTTGCCAAACTTTGGGCTGTCAGAAGAATTTAAAGAAAAAAGAAAGATGGACCACATATATATTGTACAGTGCAGGCTCTGATGCTGACTGCTTTACAAATGCAATAGCATATATATATATATATATATATATATATATATATGTATGTATGTATATATATATATATATATATATAGAGAGAGAGAGAGAGAGAGAGAGAGAGAGAGAGAGAGAGAGAGAGAGAGAGAGAGAGAGAGAGAGAGAGAGAGAGAGAGAGAGAGAGAGAGAGAGAGAGAGAGAGAGAGAGAACTTTGTATTCCGACTAAAAATTTAGACATATAATCTCTGTAATCTAAAAACAGAAATAACTTGAGCTGACTTTTGACACATCAGTGAACATAACATTGATCCTTGAGATCCTTGCCAATACACCCAAAATTTTCAGGCATGTCTTGGCCTTCTAGTCCAGCAGGTAAAAATCGTTTCACTTCATGTGACATGTGAAGTTAGCGCATCTTCCCGACATTAAAATGGACAAAAATGATGTCATAAAGGGCCTTCCGACCACACTTGAAGATGAGGAGATTGAGCATGACTATGCGCCAATCTTACGACTTGAAGAGCTGAGTGTCTTCAGAGGAAGTGGCAGAACCAGCACGGTGCAGGGGATGGAAAGACGGGTTATTAACCAATAAAACACTGGAACAATCAGCAGATGGACTCTAAGGTGGATATTGGAGCAGGGGAGCGGAGCACGTATAGCAATGCCCAGAGTGCTAGGATGTTGGTCCCAGGATCAACTAATCAAGTAAGAAAGTAATCAAGTTGACAATACACCCCAAATTTTCAGGCATGACTTGGGTCTTCTTGTCCTACAAGTAAAAATTATTTCACTTCATGTGACACGCGTAAAGTTAGCGCATCTTCCTGAGAGCAACAATTAGATCTAGAACAGAACGATTCACTTACATTTCTGCCAGAGCATGTCTCATCTCTTCTATCCTTTTCAGTCGATATTCCTTGAGAAACTCATCTTCCAGATCTTCCAACTGCGCCAGAAATTCTGCATCTGCATCTTTCTCCTCCTCATCATTTAACTGATGAAAGAAAATTACATTTGTAAACTAAAAAAACCCCCAAATAAACATAAATATATTTTTAAATACAAAGAAATACATACATACATAAAATGTAAAGTTGTTCCCGCATCCGATCCGGACATTGGGGATTGCCCTGTCAGTGAGACAACTTCTTGGGCCTTCGGCATATTGTGATAGGGTGGCCAGTTCCTTCCCCAACTCGAAGTCAGGTACCCATTACTGCTGGGTGGACAGGAGGGGGCGAAAAAATATGTGTCCGAACCAAGGCTCGAGCCTTGACTTTCCGCTTCAGAGATGAGCGCACTAACCGCTTTGCCACCGCACCCTCACATACATACATAGAAGAATAAAAATTAAAAACTTGAAAATAGATTCCCTCTGTGCATGTTCCTCATCATGTGTGCTAGGTAGAGCGTATGTTTTTATAAAAAGGGAATCAGTCCAAACAAAGGATAAAGCTACAAAGACAGTCCACGCTTGCATGCTAATTAAACACAAAAGTTGTTGTCATACATTAAAAATAACTTACATGAGATCGGCAAGTCAGAGTGAGTTTCTTTGCTAAACTCAGCTTGTCTTTCTCCTGTTCCTCTCTTTTCTCAGTCTCCAATCTCTTGAACTCTCTCCAGTCCTTCAGCACACCTTTGGGTCCAGTCTGAACATTTTTAGAAAAATAAAAAAAAGGGGGGAGGGGAGAAAATTAAAAATTAAGTGGGTGTGAAAAAAAAAGTTTGGGGCAAAAGATAAGACCCCCCCCCCTACTGACTTTATGTATTCCAATGAAGGATTTGGGCTTTGAGGTAAAATTCAAAAGCAACTTGTGATGTCACATTTAAGAACCCCCCCCCCCCAACCTCTTAATAAAAATTGAAAACAATAACCTTCAGCCTCATTACAGATGCAGAGATGAATATGGTTATCTTCAAAAGCTTGGAGTTAAATCTGAACTGCAGCAAAACAAAACTGAAAAAAAAAAAAGATAATAATAATAATAGACTGCATTTATATATAGCGCTCTATCCCACACTAATTCCAATTAATTCATTATAAAATGATCCCCGTTGACAAGTCATGACTAATTCTGTTTGCTGACTCACATTTGTGACTATTCCATTGTTCTCCGCCTGGCGGTCTCCGTCAGACCAGGCCGAGGAATCTTTGATGACACGGGAATTGTTGACGTCTTCGTCGTCCCTCTCATCTGAATCTTCTCCATCACTCTCTTCACTACTGCTGCAGTAGTAGTGAACTTTCTCCCCTAGCAGTTTATCGTCGAGACTTAAAGACATCGTTGTCGTCAAAACAACTGGACACACAGGTTCCGATAAATCTGGGAAAACAAAACATTCGTACCAGAGACGTTAATATTTATGTGGCAAAGAGTGATATAACGAAACTTCTTTGACAAGAGAGGCAAATTTCCTGAAAGTGAATACTTCAGAGTTTTGATATAAATCCTGTCAAGTTTTCTACTCATATTTACTGCTCCTTGCAATGAAATCAACAATGAATTCTGGAGTCCAAAAAGAATTTGACTATTGCAACATGCAGGATTTTTCTTGGTAGAGGACATTCAGGATCTGACAGTGACATTGGGCTTGACACACTTTAACTTTGACTGAGTAGGAAATTCCACGACATAAACCATCCTTCTCAGTACGACACTTATTTTTATGAGAGCCATTATATTTCACTGGGGGACAGGGTTGTAACTAACATATCTCATGTCTCTACATTTCTCCAAACCATAAGCAAATACAAACATGTAAAATTACACCATACTGCGACTTACCAGATTTTTTTTCTAATGAAACATTTTAATTAAAAAAACTACAGTGTGGTGCTATTTCTCAGTAGCCATACGATTTACTTACGAATGTATGTGAATCTCTAGCAATCATTGGTAAGCTGGAAGAATGATTACTTCTTGAGACAACCTAATTTCAACGGTAGGCTACTCTTTTAATTGTCCATTATACCGGTAAGGCACCGTACCGGTAATTATAACATGTTTGGCATACAACTACAATTTAGCAATGACCACGAAAATCCTTTTTTTTGCCAGAAAGTGTTTGCAAATAGGTGCATTTTGTAGCTTTATCTTCACAGAGCATGGAACTTTTTGAATTTTTGAAATCCATCAATAAACAAAAAAGTTACAGATTTTTTAATCAATTAATTTCTGGTACACTTTTATATAATGAAAAACCCCCAAAATATGGGACGTTCTTTGGTGAGTTTTGAGACAATATTCGTCATAACTCGCTCATTTCTCGGAGTATTTAAAAGAAACTTGGCAACCCAGTACATTTTGTAGTGCAGAATCTAGTCCTGCTTTCAGATTTTTCATAGCTTTCCTATTTTTTGAGTTATGAAGACGTTTATAGGTAAAAATGTGGCGGTTTCCGGTGCGTTTTGAGAAAATATTTGTCATACCTCGCCTATTTCTTGGAATATGTAAATGAAACCTGGCAGTCTAGTACATTTTTTAATGCAGAATCTAGTCATGCAGTCAGATTTTTAATATCTGTCATACTTTTTGAGTTGTAAAGACATTAACAGGTAAAAAAAGTGGCGTTCTTTAAAGATTTACAAAGATTATCAGTCATATGTTCTCCCAAAGTCATGATAATAATAATAATAGATAGCATTTGTATAGCGCATATCCCCGCTCAACAGCAGGCTCTATGCGCTTTACACTATATTATTACCCCAGCAGACCATAGAACATTCCGAAACATTCTCAGCTTCCCGGGAAGCATACAGTGCAAGCAGCCGATTAAGCGCTCAAACACTAACAAACTGACAAGATCTTTCGCTGTCTATAGCCGGGTACCCATTCCCACCTGGGTGAAGTGAGGAAAATTCGTGTAAAGTGCCTTTCCCAAGGACACAACGTCGGGCCCCTGACGGGATTCGAACCCCCGACCTTACGGTTGCGAGTCCGAGAGCCTAACCACTACGCCACCGACGCCACAATGATATTTGAATGAAACTTGGCAACATAAAAGGTTCCTCCTTGCAAAGCAATGCTCTGGATCAATTTGTCACAAAAATGTAAGTAGAGAGCTACTAATAAATCCAGTTCTATACTAGTAAAAGCATGCATACTTTGTTATAGAAAATAAGATCGTCTCAGTGTATATCCATTGTTGGACAGTGTCCTATTGTGTGGTAGATTAAGATGCGTTCAGATAATATAGTTTACAAGTCATGGGAATATTTCGCATGTGTAGGCTACAACTCATACAATAAATGTAACATATTTACACCCCCCCCTTCTCTCTCTCTCTCTCTCACACACACACGCGCGCGCGCACACACACACACACATGCACGCGCGCACGCGTGAACGATAACAATGTATAAACGGGACTATCTTCCCAGACTGGACTAAATAAGTACCATACTCTTTAATAACAATCTTAATGCCTCACTTTTCCAAACAGAGCACACAGGACGAGTCCAAGTGTGTGCTTTCCCAAAAGGGGGGAATAGGCTTTCATAACGCAAACACAATGCCATACCACTTCTCAAGATGTTTGCTTTTCTGTTTCTATTCTTCTGTCATGCAATCAAGCAAATAAAAATGACGAGATCTATTGTATTGTGACTAAAATGCAACAAAAACGCAAGTTATCAAGGCCCCCGTTTAGTTTTCAAGTATCCTTCCCCCCCTTTCCGGTTCACATAAGCGGGGCCTCGTTTGTAGCGCCCGAGGCGACCGATGGCTGATGAAGTCACTCATTGGAAATTTCCCAGCAGCAGGTCGTCGCGCAAATGGCAATGCCGCTTTTTCCCTTAGTTACTCCCATATTTCTAAAGATTACGCGAAAACCGCTAAACACAGAAGCTTGAAATTTTAAGGGAATAAAGAAAAATGGTGTACAACGTATCAGTCAGTTTGACAAATCACAGCTCCGAAAAATCTTCAAAGCGCACCACATCAACCACTTTCACAAACGTTTTCGACTGCTTCTAGGATGGGTACAATGTTGTCAAACTGCATACTACGAGATTGACCTCTTTTCTGATTGGCTGCAAAGTTTCATTCATATCCATTCACGAGAAGCGGCGTGAGAGCGAGTTGAAGACAACAACCTTTGCGTTAGTGCGTCCCACGAAACACCCCCGCTGCGGGGGCCAAAAATCGGCAGAACAAAACGCGCTCGGTGGGCATTGCTATACAATTGATGAAGGCATTGTTGTTGATTCATATATATTTTTAAGTTAGGCCTATTCGGTATGAGTATTCTCACGCGGGGTGAGAATACTCCACATACTCCACCCGTCTGTGTAAATATGAATTGAATCACTAGGGTAGGAGTCAATTGTCTTCAGAGCTGTTGTCTTCAGTTCTACTGGGCCACATTCCTTTTTCACTGTCTCTTTTATGAGGGAAGTTTTGATGTTGGCATTCTTGATTTAGTGTTTGGGGGGAGTTCTGGTCTTAAGGCTTTCAGCATTTCTCTGTTACATGGAAGATGGTGTTTTTCAGCTAGTTCAGTGGCTGTGTCAAGTATTGATCTTCCATGAATTCGTTTCTTCGGTCGTCTCTGTTCAATTATTTTCCTGTTTGGGTGGTTTTTCTCTAGTCTTTTGTAGCGCTCACTCATCTCCATAACTGCTGCCTCTCTCCGCAAGTCCAAGGGTTCCAGGTTCGTGTGGATTTCACAAGCTGCAGTTGGAGTGGATCTCAAAGCTCCGGAGATAAATTGTACAGCTTGATTTTGGATTTTGTCGAGAGATCTCTGAGTTGGTTTGCTGCAGATTGTCAGTAAGGTAAGGTTATATTCCATGGCAGAGCGTACATAGCCAACATATAGCTGTCTGAGTGCATCCTTGTCCGCTCCCCATGAAGTGCTAGCCAGTCGTCTGAGAAGGTTTTAAGTCTCTTGTTGGCCTTGGTCTTCAGGTTCCAGATATATGGTTTTTGCATGAAGACTGTCTGTCCAGCTCGATCCCAAGGTAGGTCGGGTATCATAATTTGCTAAAGAAATGATTATACTAACCTTTAAATAGTGTACTAACAACTTTCTTGCACCTGTTATGTCTGTGCGCACATGGTCGTAACCCGTTCCCTATGCGGTCGCGCCGAGGCGTCGCGCCAAGGGCAGAACATTAACATGTTAAAATGCGAAATCTGCCTACGTTTTAGAATGAGTGACGATATCACGATATATAAACCGGAAGTTGACACACCGAAGCGGCCCTGAACATGGATTGCCTGACCTATTTTGCATACAGAGACCGCTGAGAAGCAAAATACGACAAGTGGTCGCGGGTTGGGCCAGGTACTCTAGATCTAATGGCCTTGCAACGCAATTTTTCAGATCTCAGCGTGCAAGTAAGTCTTATTCACATTTGGTGATCTTGTAGATTTAGATCTAGTTCCGTTCCTTAAAGTCCATGATCCATTTGTTTACATCCAGAGAAGAAATCCGGAAGTTTTGAAGTCCAAATAGGCCTAGAATTTATGGTAAAATTCAGGCAGGCATGACCCCCCTGACCCTCCATATTTTTATTAGGTGCCTCTGAAGCCCCCCTACTCTTGACTATTCTCGGGGCCCAAACTGACGAATAATAATTGGGGGGTGGGAACTGCCGTTCTTTGCTTGAATTTTTATTTTCTCTGGCTTTAGTAGTGTTAGTTCACTCCTCAATGATTGCCTGGCAATTCAGGGTTTCTGGCGTTCAGCTTTGGACTTTAACAAACGAAACTACAAAATCACCTCATCACATTTTTTCCCGGTAACAGGGAACAAGTTACGAAATATACAGGCCCGGTAGGGGAAATTGTTTGTGATTTCGGAAAGTTTCATCATCCTCTTGGCTCAGGGTAGACTTCGGTTTTTCTAGATCTACGGCCTAGGTCTAGATCTAAACAGACATAAACCATATTATTTTGAGGCCTAGATCTAAATGAAGATTGCGGGATGTCTTTTCGATGAACGATCATTTTAGAGTTGAAGGAATCCATTAAGACAATTTGAAGAAAAGAACAATGTCATAATTTTAATCAAGCAGTCACCCTCTCAAGATCTACTTCTCTCCCCTCTTTGTCTCTCTCTCTCTGTGTATCGCTCGCCTTTTCTTTTCATTTGTTTATCTGTCTAAATTCTTTCTACGCGACCTACTTTCCCACACTATATTTCTCTCGTTCCCTCCTGTCAACTTGGGCATGGTAATATGCTAGCACTTCCCCCTGTTCTCTCCCCCCCCCACCTTCTCTCTCTCCTCACACACACACACTCTCTCTCTCTCTCTCTATCGGATCTGGGCGCTGAAACTTTCGGAAATCACAAAAGACTTCCCATACCTGGTCTGTATACTTCGTGACTTTGTTCCCGGTTACCGAGTCTGTATACACTTCGTTTTTTTTGTTGCTGGATTCAAATATGTAGCCTTTGGCTTTGGGTAGGTTAAGGGGCGCTTTTTCGGTAGTTCCCACCCCCCTTATTTGATTGAGCCTGACCTACATCTAGATCTATATACGTTTGATTCGCGGCAAGCTAAGATATCAAACCTAACAACTGCAAAACATTAAATTGTGGTAAAATTCAGGGGGGCACGCCCCCCTGAAACCCCCCTACTCTAGGGGCCAATACCGGCGAATAACAAATGCGGGGTGGGAACTACCGAAAAAGCGCCGGTTAAGGCTGCCTTAACTTTAGTTAAGGTGGTAGGGTTTACATCTTAACCTTACTATTACTCACCTTACCTTGCCTTATAATCATCATACTAAACCAGCAAATGTGATCTTGTTACAAAAAAAACCCAACAAACATTCCCCCCCCCCCCCCCCCC